CTTTTATATTTTATTTATATTATTTTTATTTTATATTTTTGGTTCCTTTGCTTTCATTCTTTGTTTTTTCTTTTTTTCTACGTTCCTAGAATTCATAGTAATAAACGTCATTGCCTATCTAACTCCCTGTCTTTCTTTTGTTTTTCCTTTACTTCCTAAACGAATACCGCTCAGTTCGAGAAAATCAGTAAACGTCGAGCACGGAACTCCCCTCGGAACTCTTTCATAGAAGACGCTGAAACATCCGATACGATTATTGCGAATTCCCGTTGTTCTGATAAACGGTTGTTCCGCAATCAGGAGATGAGTATTGAGACTCTCTCTCTCTCTCTCTCTCTCTCTCTCTCTCTCTCTCTCTCTCTCTCTCTCAGGTACCGGAAGGCTCGCTCGGCGTCGTTTCCAGTCTCGGCGTCGTCGTCGTTGGCCTCAACGTCGTCGTGGCCATCGAGAAAAACCTCCTCTCTAAGCTAGAACTTCGTTGAATTTCCGGTTTCTTCTTCCTTCCGCCTACTTTATGGAATAATCCTCTTGTTCCTTCCTCGATATAAAGACACGCGACTCTTCCCCCTTCACCTTCGTCTTCCGTCTTTCGGGATATTTCTGTTGTCTCGCCTTTCTACCGTCCTTCTTTTCCAGATGGTGAATTTCCGACTCGTTAAACGGATTTAATTTCACCGAGTCTAACAAGCGCGATAACGGCGAGTCCCCGGCTTTAAATCCGAGATGGCACCGGCGTATCGGCGTGGTCTTGTTTTGAATTTCAAAGCGACGACGACCCAGTTCGAGGACGACGACGAGGCGCGACCGCGCTTCGCTACTCTTGTCCTTCCTCGTCCGCGTCCTCGGACTCGAGATAAGAGCAGTCGTGTCGTGAGGGCTAGTGGTTGGGCTCCGCGACAATTCTGCAAAATTACATAAACGGTCGATGGAACTGAGACCCCGTTTTACTTTGCAATTTATGTCCATTTTTACATGGAAAAAATAATCATGGTTAAATTAACATATATTAAGATATATGTTAAAAAAGAGCCAATTTCAATTTAAAAATGTGTAAATAAAAAGAATAATACATTTTTGTAGATTTTGATCTTCTGGATGCGATAAATTATTTAAAAACTCCAATTTTTGTACGTATATCTTTTTTATACACCTATACCTCTAATTCTACTGTATATTCCTTTACTATATATTTTTAAACTAAAAATTTTTAATTGTTAAATATTGTTATTAAGTTTAACATTTAAAAGAGTAGAAAAGAAAATAGAAATTCACTTTTGTTCATTTTAACTAAAAAAGACAAGCAAATATTTTTGAATGATAGTGTAGGTGCAGATCTGAAAATAATTTTGTTGGACTATTAAAATAACTATGTAGGACACTCAAGCATGATGAAGAATGTTGCTATGAAAATAATTTTGACATTCTAGCAACCATTTTGAGCGTTCTACATAATTATTTTAACAAAATTATATTCAGATCTGTATCTAACTAAATTTTTAAATTACTTTAACAAAGACGTTTCTTTCTATACATGATTGAATTATTTTGGGAATAATCATCTGGAATATTTTTTTATTTTTATTTTCGCCTCCAGTGGCAAAAAATATAAACTGTTGTAAAATATTTTTGTATGGCTATTGTTTGATATATTTTTTCTTTTTTAATAATTATTCTTTATAAACCTTCGAATTTGAAATTCTATTGAAACAATAAAAAGCGTTATATTAATTAAAATTTATATATATATTTTTTAAATATTGTTATAAACTGTTTTCAACGTGTTTATTCCGTTTACAAAAATTTTTTTTATTTTTACTTACTTTTTTCAGAAAATTATAATTAAATTCGTATTAATTATTTTCTTAAATACTAATAAATCGGAAAACATTCAATAATATTACAATATATTATTTATATTGTAATAACAACTTCAATTATGAAAACAAGTGATCGTTTACGTAAAAAACTTGGGTGAACTTTCGGATTAAAGAAATATTGATAAAACAAAACAGAATTTTGGTTAACATATTTATAATCATAATAAATAATCAAATGATATCAAATGTTTGATTATTTTCATCAAAATTATGCAGTTAAATGTGTGTCTGCAGGTTATTTTAAAATTATTAATTATTATTTATATTTACCAAATATGTACTAATTTATTTAATTTTTTTCAATAACAATGTGAATTAACTTTAATCTTTAATTTGCTCTTCACACACCTTTTCCTAATTAAAAGAATATATAAAAATTTTTCAACAATGTTTAAGATTTTCATAAATGAAAAATTTAAATTGCTTGTCAATTTAATATGTAATATTACTACTTTCGTTTTGTTCATAATTGCGTTTCAAGACTGAAAAAGATTTCGGCGCTTGGTTTTGCAGAATTGGATATAAATTCAGAACAGAAATATTCTAAGCACTAAGATTAGCTTTAACCGAAAATAGGATTTCTCTTACTTTAATATTTAGATTTATTCTTCTCGCTCCATTTTTCTATTTATAATAAAAAGCTTAACTGAGTAAATTTAATTTCAAAATTAATCTACGTTGGCAGAAATGGACATTACATACGCTTTTTAGAACTTACGACGAATTTAAAGTCAATAACACGTGCACCGAGAGTGCATTTGTCGCGCGATCCATCTAAACTTTTCCGGAAACGGACGGTCATGTGGGAAGAATTGAGGACAGGCGAGAGGAAGCGAGAGGGGCGAAATTGCCTCTTTCGAGGGAGGAGAAAATTATCGGCGACGTGATGGAGGCGACTTCCACTGCATGCGACTACACCATATAGGAAACGGTAGACAGCTTCTAATCAGAGTGATGCCATATAAGATTAAAGGTATTGATTAGAGACCTCAAATAAGAGATTAGATACCAATAGATCACGTTCACCAGTCATATTTCTAAGGACCTCATATTTAAGATAGAATGAAATATCTACGCATTTCATTCTATTTTATATATCTATCTCTCATTCTATCTCAAATAAGTCCTGAAAAATATGGTGAAGCAATCAGAAGTTGTCTAAACGATATCCAATCTCTTACTTGAGAATCTCTAGGTACCGACATGTTTTGGCGAAATCTTGCGAGTAAGAAAGAAATATATATATATATATACAATATATACGTACTCAATCCAATAGTGTAGCTATCAGCTGTTACCTGCTAACAAGTAAGAGTGACGTTTTATTGACGTTAAAGGCATTAAAGACATTAAAGATATCATTAAGACATCATTTCACCTCGCTACTTGGGTCAGCTGTTACCCTGCCGCAAATTCCCATATAGATCCCATGGGAAATTGATTCAGGTGTATTATGAGGCAGGGTATAACAATAAAATATTGAGGATCATGAAATTGTGCATTTGTTTATAAATAATATATTTTATGTATAACATTTATGCAGTGTGTAAATAGATATATGTGTATTATTACAATACGTATATTGTAACAATATGTACATATAATTATGTATCTCTTTATGCGATGTACACGTAAATAATTGTTTATACACTGCATAGATGTTTATACATAAAGTATATTACTTATAAACAAATACACAATTTCATGATTTCCAATATTTTATTGTTATATCCTGCCCCATAATACACCTGAGTCAATTTCCCATGGAACTCATATGAGAATATGCGGCAGGAATTAGGTGTATGATTTTAAGTGCAATATGTAATAAATAACATTGCTGATGTGAATTTATATTGCAAAAAGAAAAATAGTAATATAGTTGGCTTTGGTATCACTTTATAGCAATTCTATGAACAAAGGATATATTATTATCTTTAAATTTCTTGAGAAAGAGTGAGAAATTTGCACTCTTGAATAAGAGTGGTAGATTTTCACTCTTTTTTCAGAGTGAGATTCACTTCAAACAAGGAGTGAGATTTCTTTCCTTTAGAATGAATCTCACTCCAAAAAAGTGAAAATTTGTTTAAATCTAAGTTTAAATCTGCTACTCTTTTTCAATAATGGCAGTATTTTAAAGTAAGATTTCACTCCAAAAAATTTAGAGACTATGAAAATAGTGAGACTCAGAATGCTGACGTGATGGGAGAGTAATATAAATAATAGATATAAAAATAGAGCTCCATTAAAAATTCATGAAGTAAAGTTATTTGCTTTATAAATATTTATAATATTATAATAAAAAGATTTATATAATACCTGCAAATACATGCAGATTGATTAAAATACATAGTCGATTTGCTTATGAATTTTGATCAGAAATCAATACAATTGAAAAATGGTGGGAATGGCTAAAACATGGCGGACCAATCACAAGTGATAGTCGTATGGCGCCACTCTGATTAGAAGCTCTCTTGGGAACGGTATCGGCTTCTCGCCTGCCTATATCGCGCATCCGCTTTTCGGACTAATAATTTCGCCCGACGACTTCCGGCCCGTGATTGCTCGGGAAACTGCTAATGCGTGCTACGTTCTACATACATAGAGTGTACATATATATGCCGGGCGCATCGGCACGTAGCGTCGGAGTGTATATCTCGACGGGGAGGACGCGAGAGGGTGGATTTTGGGCGAAGACTGGTGGTGGGCGGCGTGGCCGGGGGTCGGGCAAGGGCAAGGGCATGAATATATACATATAAATATGGTTATATCGTGAAAACGTCTACACACATACACAGGTATATCTCGAGATTGCCCGCGTAATCCTGTAATCGCGTTCGACTCGAACGGTGGAAATGGGAACGGTCGGTTTCTCCTCTCCTTCCCCATTTCTCCGTTTCAGAGTGGAAATAGCGCGCGCGAGCGCAAGAGTGTCGAGGGTGTAAACACGCATAATATCATGAATCGCATCAGAGATCGCCTGGTAATCCCGGTAACTGTTCGATCCGATGATGAAACGGGATCAGGGAAAAGGGCGGGTTACAGGAGGAAAAGCCTCCACCTCTTCCATCTCGATCATCTCTTTCGCATCCGTGATGAATCCGAGGGCGTTGTAACCGCATGGAAATAGCTCACAAACACAGGGACGCAATTATGTAAACACAGGTAATATCGCGAATCGCTTCGAGATTGCCCCGATGATCCTCCAGTAAAGTAGTTCGGCTTGTCGACGAAACGTGTGGCCCGTGGGGAACGAAAGGGTTGGGGGAAGAGAGAGAGGAATTAAAAAACGGGAAGTTTTCCCTTCACCAATCTCTTTTCGACGAATTACTGCGTGGAAATAGTAAGCGGCTGAGGGGTGGGCAGGGGATGGCAGGATCGAGTGCACCCAGATTGCTTCCGGCCGTTCGCTTCCGTGCATCGCCGCTAATCGACGGACGTCTTTAATAATTTCAACATTCTCTACACACAAATTGCGATCAGCGCGGCCGGAAAAGAACCGGAGGCGACTCGTCTTATTTAATTAATTAAAAAGGGGGTTTTAATGCCGGCCGCGGCGTCCAAAGCAAAAGGATGACACGTGTCCCTTCTCTGTAGGTATACAGACGTTCTCTCTCGATATTACTTTTATGAAACATAAGAATTATTAATAATAATTATATAACAAAAATAATAATATTTACGTGAAATATAATAATTAAATATTTTACGATATAATAATTTTCTCTCGATATTATTTTTGTGGTATAAATAAAAGAATTAATAATAATTATATTGCAAATAATAATATTTACGTGAAATGTAATAATTATAATAATTACAAATATAACAAACACAATGAAAGGATTTTCGAAATTCAACATCATATTAATAGTTAATATAAAAGCGTTAAGAGTCAGTGCGATAAACAGTCATAATAATTATACAGTCTTAGCCAAAAATATTAAGCATTTATATTTTTTTCGTTTATCTGGAATTCTTTTATTAGCATTGCTACTTACTGATTATCGACATTATATATAAGTTTAAAAGGTCTTTGAAGCAAAACATAATTTACAGAAAATACCATATATCCATTTTTTAAACTTTAAA